GAATGCCATTAAAGTTCATGTGTGTGTAAAGGCAGGTGTCCAAATATTTTTGCCAATATAGTGTATATATATATATATATATATATATATATATATATACTCATAGATAGATGGTATGCAGTGGCGTCACTATGGGGGTGTAGCACTGACCGGATCATTTACATTGGCCGGTTTGGTGTGTACACTGGTCAAAACTAGCCTGCCCAGCATCAAGCATGTAAAACGTGGTGTCATCCTTAGCCCAACCCCCCCACCCCTAGTGCCGAGGAGGAGTGAAACCATGTTTTAGAGCAACCGGAGACACCAACCCTAGTGATGCCACTGTATTAAAATACTCCTATCTAGCTGGGTCATTCCACCAAGAGAAGGCAGAAAAATCAAGCATAATTACATGTGTGTAAGCAGGTTCATCCAATGGGTTAAAAAAAATTTCTGTGCTGACCCATGCTCTGAAGTTATTTGGGTCAACTGTGCTGTTTTTGCAACTAAACTGTTACAATGGAGATATGTACACTGTGTCCTTAGGTTGACCTGCTAGATTGGTGGAAGGAGTTAACACTGTTGGTTAGGTTTCCCGATTTCTCTCAGATATTCACTGCCCCCTGCAGGTTCCATATGAATAGGGGCTCTTCAGTGCCCTAGGGGCTCTCTTCTTAAGGGCTGCTAAAATGTAGGTTGTTATTCTGCTGGTCTGTGCCCCCATCCGGGGGCCAAGTTGGGGTTTCCTATGGAGTTGGATTCTCATGCCTTTTGGCTACCATTCATAACCTTTTGTGGATTACTGTCAAATATGGGACTTTAAAGAATACTTGCTACCTAAATGGACTCATGCCTTTAATGGACTACTTTATGAACTTGCTGCTAATTCAGGTATGGCTACCTCATGTGCATTTACAGAACTCTGTACAGGGATGCATGTGAAGTTGTCTTGGAAGAACTGTTCCTGTATGTCTTTGCACTACTTCAGTAAAGACTGTCATTGTATCTGGTAACAGCAGTCAGACATGTCTCTGGGAGTGAGGTGACAGAATTTCTGGGTTGGTGAAGACCAGTACTGGCTCAGCAGTGCTGGTTCCTAAATGTTCTGATGTTCTCTCACAAGACTCTAGAGTGTTTAGTGACAGCACTGTGGCAAGGTTGGCCATGTTACATGGAGTTAATTGTGTAAGTGCTGCTCGCTTCTTAGTTTTCCTAAATGGTGCTTTCACATGAACGTAGCTTCCTGCAGTTCCACTGTGTCCCCACTAGGGCGTTCCAAGCCTCACCACGTTTATGCACGTTTACAGGCATATGGTGTTTAGAAGCACAAGAGTGTAAAATCATTCTACTGGCCAGAATATTTATTTATTCTAGCCACTTGAATAAATGTGTGCGCATATGCATGTGTTTTGGCGCATTTAGGCAGGTATGTGAGCAAATTATGCTCATAAGCTTCTCTCCAAAAGCACCTATGGGGCATTTTTGATGGTGGACTGTCCCTCCCTCAACATAGCTGTAGATAGGGCTCTTAAAATATGCATCTAAATGCCTAATGTGCATGGCCACAGAGGCCATTGAACATTGAGCTGCTTTATAGGCATATAAAAAAAAATTGCTGGGCTCCTGTAAAAGCGGCATTTTTTTATACCCACGTGCATGTGGCCGAAATCATACTTCAGATTTCAGTGTTTGGGTTTAGATCTACCTAAATGCTGCGGCTTCTACCAAAAACTGAAACATGACTTTTACAGTAAACTGTCCCTTTATTGTATAGTTGAAGGCAAAACTCATGTTACTCCCCCAATTGAACTGAAAAATAATTTTCTTACTTTGAAGGAACATACGCGAGTTCTACATTATATATATATTTGTGGTGTTGTCTAAGCATATCACGTTCACTGTTTCAGTGGGCAGACAGGCTAATAACAGCCTTTGCTGAATAACAATGAGTAAATAGGTCATTATATGGCAGAAAATGAAAAAAAGGCTCAAAGTGATGGAAATGTATTTCTTCCTATTGCAATGTCCAGCTTAGCACCTGGCGCTCCGCTATTCCCGCAGCCCTGCCCATCGCTGCGATGACCCTATTACTGCATCCTTCACAGATCAAAGCAAGATTAATGTAATTGCATGCTGTTGTACTGATCACCCCTCACTGCATGAGACTTGTGTCTTGTGGGGAAAAAGCATATATTATATATACAGTGTATATATATATATATATATATATATATATATATATATATAGTGATAGATAGATAGATAGAGATAGATAGATAGATAGATAGATAGATAGATAGATAGATAGATAGATAGATAGATAGATAGATAGATAGATAGATATAGATAGATAGATAGATAGATAGATAGATAGATAGATAGATAGATAGATAGATAGATAGACAGACAGACAGACAGACAGACAGACAGACAGACAGACAGACAGACAGATAGATAGATAGATAGATAGATAGATAGATAGATAGATAGATAGATAGATAGATAGATAGATAGATAGATAGATAGATAGATACACACACACACTGCTCAAAAAAATTAAAGAAACACTTTGAAAACATATCAGATCTCAATGGGGAAAAATATCGTGCTGGATATCTATACTGATATGGACTGGGTAAGGATGCCCCATCATTTGATGTAAATGAAAATTATCAATCAAAAGAGGACTGAATTCAAAGACACCCTGAAAATCTAAGTGAAAAAATTATGCAGCAAGGTAATCTATTTTACTGAACTTTTATTGCAGCAACTCAGAATGGTATTCAGTAGTGTGTATGGCCCCCACGTGCTTGTAGGCATGCCTGACAACATTGGGGAATGCTCCTAATGAGACCACGAATGGTGTCCTGGGGTATTTCCTCCCAGATCTGGCTCAGGGCATCACTGAGCTCCTGGACGGTCTGAGGTGCAACCTGGCGGCGTCAGATGGACCGAAACATGACATCCCAAGGGTGTTCTATTGGATTTAGGTCCATCGAGCGTGGGGGCCATTCAGTGCTATCAATTCCTTCATCCTCCAGGAACTGCCTGCATACTCTCACCCAGGGGCGGACTGACCATTTGGAAACTCGGGCACTGCCCGAGGGCCCGGGGTCAGTAGGGGGCCCCATGAGATGCCCCTGGTACCTTTTGCATAGGCTTTTTTGAGTTTGGGCAAGAAAACAAGGGCCCCATGATCCCCTATTGCCCAGGGGCCCCATGAGTTGTCAGTCCACCCCTGCTTTCACCACATGAGGCCGGGCATTGTCGTGCACCAGGAGGAACCCAGGACCCACTGCACCAGCGTAAGGTCTGACAATGGGTCCAAAGATTTCATCCCAATACCTAATGGCAATCAGGGTGCCATTGTCTAGCCTGTAGAGGTCTGTGTATCCCTCCATGGATATGCCTCCCCAGACCATCACTGACCCACCACCAAAACGGTCATGCTGAACAATGTTACATGGCAGAATAACGTTCTCCACTGCTTCTGCAGACCCTTTCACATCTGTCACGTGCTCAGGGTGAACCTGCTATCATCTGTGAAAAGCACAGGGCGCCAGTGGCGGACCTGCCTATTCTGGTGTTTAATGGAAAATGCCAATTGAGCTCTATGGTGCCGGGCAGTGAGCACAGGGCCCACTAGAGAATGTCAGGCCATCAGGCCACCCTCATGAAGTCTGTTTCTGATTGTTTGGTCAGAGACATTCACACCAGTGGCCTGCTGGAGGTCATTTTGTAGGGCTCTGGCAGTGCTCATCCTGTTCCTCCTTGCACAAAGGAGCAGATAACAATTCTGCTGATGGGTTAAGGACCTTCTATGGCCCTGTCCAGCTCTCCTAGAGTAACTGCCTGTCTCCTGGAATCTCCTCCATGCTCTTGAGACTGTGCTGGGAGACACAGCAAACCTTCTGGCAATGGCATATATTGATGTGTCATCTGGAGGAGCTGGACTGCCTGTGCCACCTTTGTAGGGTCCAGGTATGGCCTCATGATACCAGTAGTGACACTGACCCTAGCCAAATACAAAGCTAGTGAAAAACAGTCAGAAAAGATGAGTAAGGAAAAAAATGTCAGTGGCCTCCACCTGTAAAACCATTCCTGTTTTGGGGGTCATCTCATTGTTACCCATCTAGTGCACCTGTTGTTGATTTCATTAACACCAAAGCAGCTGAAACTGATTAACAACCCCCCTCACACTTAACTGACCAGATCAATATCCCAGCAGTTTCATTGACTTGATGCTAGACTCTGATTAAAAAGTGTTCCTTTAATTTTTTGAGCCGTGTATATATATTCAACAGTTGTAGTACTCAAGGTATTTATAGTAATAAGGTTCTTGCACCAAAGTCCAATGTATGGTGTTTACCATATTACATTAACCCTTCATCAGTCAAGAAACTCTTCTGGTAACAGAATCCAGCACAAGAATATATACAAGCATTGCATCTAGGTAATGATTCCAATGCTTAGCTTAAATCTGGTCTCTGACAAGGAGATAAACTCTACCCATCAAGGTCCCCACACACACACACGCTGCAAGGGTTTAAAGGGGTATTAAACCCAAAAACAAAGAAGTTGTTGGTGCATTAGTTTCATTAGTTTTCTCTTTTAGGCTTTTTCCCTCTGTTTTCACCTGGTGATCCTGTATTAGCGTGCCCCCTCCTCTGGATGGAGAAGCACAGGGCGCACTCTTGCACAGCAGCATTGTCAGTCTATGGGAAGGGTAGTGTTAATCTGGCAATAGATGAGTCACAATGTTGCTGGTTCAACAGGGACCAGCCAAATTTCGATCCATGTGTGGTCGTACCTATTTGACAGAAGTCAATTGGGAATGAGAATGTTGGAAAATTTGGCCTCTTAAAGTAAATTGAAAAATAACAGACTAACTGGTTAGATCACCAATTGAAATAAAGGCAAAAATGATGCAGCCATCACATCTAAGAATTGGTAAGCTATAATTTAATAAACATTTGCTTTTGGGTTTAATACCGATTTAAGTGCTAGTTTAGTCTAGGGGTGCAGGGGTAAGGCATATTACTTACCTCTGGCAGGGTCTCCAAAACCATTTGACTAGTCCCCTATAGCAGGGCCAGATCTAGCCTGTCCAATGTAGGGGTGCAGTAAAAAATGCCAGGGGGGCAGAGGATTGGAGGTCAGGGGGGCAGAGGACAGGGGTCATTGTTGGCAGGGCAGAGGACAGGGGTCACTGCTGGCAGGGCAGAGGACAGGGGTTGTTGTTGGCAGGGCAGAGGACAGGGGTCACTGCTGGCAGGGCAGAGGACAGGGGTCGTTGTTGGCAGGGCAAAGGACAGGGGTCGTTGTTGGCAGGGCAGAGGACATGGGTCACTGCTGGCAGGGCAGAGGACAGGGGTCACTGCTGGCAGGGCAGAGGACATGGGTCACTGCTGGCAGGGCAGAGGACAGGGGTCACTGCTGGCAGGGCAGAGGACAGGGGTCACTGCTGGCAGGGCAGAGGACAGGGGTCGTTGTTGGCAGGGCAGAGGACAGGGGTCACTGCTGGCAGGGCAGAGGACTGGGGTCACTGCTGGCAGGGCAGAGGACAGGGGTCATTGTTGGCAGGGCAGAGGACAGGGGCACCGCTCCTTCTCCCATCCCTGCACTGCACACAGCCTGTGCAGCAGAACTCTCCACACAACCCATAACTGAGATCAGTATAGTGTCAGTCAAGGAAAGTGCAGTATAATGTCAGGCTAAGTATCAGATTAGGGCAGCATAGTAGCAGGTTAGGGTAGGCTTTGGGGGAGCACAACTAAAATCTGGGGGGCATAGACCACCGCAGCACCCCCTAGATCCGGCCATGCCTATAAGGTGCTTCAGGCCGTGGTGGCAGGCTCACCTCCTCGTGTACAACACAGGGCTAATAGCCCTGCACTGTGCTTGATGTCACCAAAGACAAGTCCACAGCATGGAGTTTCAGAGCAGCACTGGAGCCTGCTGGAGCCAGGAATAAGGTAAGTATTACAGCTGACCCCTGCACTCCTAGACTAATGGAACACTTAACTAGCCATGTGCGCTTCATTTCCTTATTCAGAGATTCAGATGTATCCGAATTTCAGAATTACAATAGTATCAAATTTAAACGAATTGGAAAAAACTAAACTAAATTTCATCTGAAATTTGAATCCAATTCAAATTTGAAAACAAAATTGAATTCAGAAACAAGAATAGAAAAGAAAGTAAAGGAACAGAATTGAAAAGAATAGAATAGACCAGAAAAGAATAGAACAGACGTTAAAAGAATAAAATAAAATAGAATATAAAATACATTTACAAACATTTTAAACATGTTTTTGGTTGATTAAAGGTATCATTCATGTGCTTTAAGCACCAGCCTTATGATTTACACATATACTCACAACACAAAAACCCACGAATCATGGTTGAGTCCATAACTAGTCTTTCTTTTCTGTTTGGTTTACTATAAAATAAAGTAGTAGTATAGAAAAGAATAGAATATAAAATAATAGAACAGAATACAGTAAAACAGAATAGAATAGAAAAGAAAATAATAGAAAATATATAGAAAATAATAGAATAAAACAGAATAGAATAGAACACAGTAAAACAGAAAAAAAATAGAATTGAAAAGAATAGAATAAAATAGAATAGAATAGAAAATAAATGAATAGAAAAGAAAACAAAAAACAGAATAGAAAATAAAAAATAGAATAGAAAAGAATAGAACAGAAAAAAACTATAGAATAGAATAAAATAGAAAGAATATAACCATCTTCCGAAACTCGAATTTTGAATAGAATAAATTCAAATTGGAAAAGAATAGACTAGAAAATAAAGCATAGAATAGAAAATAATAGAATAGAAAAAAACAATTTAGTCTTCGACTAGAATAAATTCAATACTTTTCAATTCGGTTGAATTGAATTCAGTTGGACTGACTTTGGAAAATCTGAATCGAATTCAAAAACGAATAAATGAAACAAATTCCTGAAACAAATTAAACTAATTTAACAAATGTAACCAAATGAAATTATTTAAATAATGAAACAAAATTTTTTTTCCCGTTTTTCGTTCTGCACATGTCTACCCTTAAAGCGGAGCTCCACCCAAAAAGGAAGTTCCGCTTTAAGCCTTTGTCCCCCGCTCCCCATTAAGGTTTGGCACCTTTGGGGAGGGTGGGGGTGCGGATACCCCCCTCCTAGGTGATCGGAAGCGGAAGTTGTCCTCCCCCCTCCCTCCCCGTAGTCTTGCGGGACACGTGACAGGTCCCAGAAGACTGCGGGCCATTCACAAAGTGCAGCGCTTCTCACACATGCGCTGTGGGCACCCGGCTGTGAAGCCGCAAGCTGTCACAGCTGGGTGCCCACACTGAAGATGCCTGTGCCAGGGAGAGAAGACAGTGAGGACACCGCTGGACCGAGGGACAGGTAAGTAGCTGTGTTTTAAAAGTCAGCAGCTACAGTTTTTGTAGCTGCTGACTTTTTTTTCAATATAACGGGAGACAATACAGCAACAATACAGTTCAATACAAGAGGGTTAGGAGGGCCTGATCCTGGGAGCTTACAATCTAAGAGGTATGTATATACAGTATGTATGTATGTATACAGGTATGTATATCAGTTAATAGCCCACTGATGTCTGAAACCCAGATTAATATTTAGAGCCGATCAGTCACTTTGTGCTGAAAACAGGTTTTGAATATTCTGTCAGGAGCGGTATTTACAAAGCGCCATTGTGGGGTATTTACAAAGCGCCATTGTGGAAACCTAAATGACCATGTTGCAGCATTTTAATAATGGTGGAGGTGAACCGTCTGTACTGCTGGAAGGAAAACATAAGAAGTTTGTCACTTATGAAGAAGACAAAGAAAACTTTTTTTTATAACTAAGAGAGCAGCTGAGAATGACTAAAGTAAATTGCCAAGCTCCCGAGGTACGGGGACAGAAAATCACACAAACTGGTTTCTGCCATTGGCGTGCGCTATTTTATAAAGCGCTTGGTTCTGCTCCGGCAATTACGTGGATTGTATTGTGGGATTGAAAGTCATTTACTAGTCAGAAAATATTTCATTCTAATCTTTTGCTCATATGAAATTGGGATAAGCTCTGGAACTGAATATAGATAAGGTATGAGCTTTTCATGATTTCGTTTTAAAACTAAAGGTAGCCTTACAAGGGGGGATTGAATAATCATTTTTCTGGATCCAACTCCTTAATTGTGCTCCTATATTATACGTATATTATATGTAGTTGACATTGTAGCAGTATGAGATGTTTTAAGTGACAAAAAGAACACTGCGGTTACTTGTGGGCAAATCCAAAAGTGATGTGTTGGTCTCTATATAAACCCTTGATATTACGTCTGCAGCATCCTACAGAAGCTCACGTGACTCGGTGGGTGAAATGCATTGACGTCCAGGGGCGGACTGACCATTTGGAAACTCGGACACTACTGACTGGAGGGCCCGTGGTCAGTAGGGGGCCCATGAGATTCCCTTGGTACCTTTTTCACAGGCTTTTTTGAGTTTGGGCAAGGACACAGGGGCCCCATGATCCCCTGGGGTCAGTAGGGGGCCCCATGAGATGCCCCTGGTACCTTTTTCATAGGCTTTTTTGAGTTTGGGCTAGGACACAGGGGCCAGATGATCCCCTATTGCCCGGAGGCCCCATGAGCTGTCAGTCCGCCCCTGTTGATGTCACAGCGTCGTGGTGCCCACGTCCTAGGCTTTGCCAACTTGCCGCACCACACCAGACAAGAAAAATTGCAGTTACCTGCATATCCATCTTCACATGTAGTCTGATTTCAGCAGTACCACACAGTAGGGCAAGATTCACTGAAGCCAGTGACTGTACTGAGGGGTGAGCTGACAACATTTGGGTCGGGTTGTGATCATATCGGGGGTTATCCCCTGAACTCTGGCTGCTCTGCTGAGCCCCACACACCTGGTGTTCCCTTCTGTCTGCATGCGGCAAATGGCTGTGGCTAACTTTAACCCTCGCCCACGTACCGGTCACTGAATCCCAGACTGTTGTTCAAATGTGACCATAATTGCTGCTTTTCCAACTGTGATGTGTCTGACTGCTATCTCTATTGATACCATTGTGATGTCCAGCATGGTTTGACTTTGAACTTGTCAGCATTAATTGAATATACCTCCTGATGGACTACCATTATAATCAATGATTATATATGCTGATATGTGGTACTTTTTGAGGGGCCAGTACCCCCATATCATTTCATTGCAGGGGCGGACTGACCATTCGGGTACTCAGGCACTGCCCGAGGGCTCGGGGTCAGTAGGGGGCCCCATGAGATGTCCCTGGTACCTTTCATAGACTTTTCTGGGTGTGGTTTGAGTGTGGGCAAGGACACAGGGCCCCATGATCCTCTATTGCCCGGAGGTCCCATGAGTTGTCAGACCGCCCCTGCTTCATTGCATGATTGTTGCAGACAATACCAATCATTTTTTGATCCAGCACTATCAGCAATAATTATAGGGCTTCCCAGTCCCCATGATCAGTGGTGTATTTAGGTTTTGTGCTGCCCTAGGCAAAACCCAAAAATTGGCGCCCCTCCTCAGAGAGAGCCTGACGTTAACCAAGAGCACCCCTGCCCTCCACCTGAGCCTTGCACTACCACTGCCCCCCATACACCAGCCACCATCCCCCATGGCGAGAGAGAGAAAGACATTCACCTTCACAGCTCCGAACATCCCCAGAAACAAGAGTCGGGCTGTGCATACACCGTCATGAAACCCACAGCATCTCTCGGAACCCACCAAGTCCCCATGCCGCATATGTCCCTTCTTCCATCCCAAGGGGCAGTGCTGCCCCCCTGAAAAATGCCGCCCTAGGCAAATGCCTTGTTTGCTTTGTGGTAAATACACCCCTGCCCACGATCCCATCCCCATGTGAGTGCTGTGAGTGGAGAGTATGCCTGTGTGCCCTGGCGGATGTGTTTTTATATGACAACCTTGTTATTTAGTTTTATTGTGTAGGGTGGAGGGACTATTGTACCATTTATATTTTGATATTTTTCAATAAATATATTTTTTCTTCAAGCCGCAGATTGGTTCTCTTAGGACTTCTTATTGTGGGTCCTTTACTCACAATTTAGCTTTTTTGATGAGTACATCGCTGGACCCCAGGAAAGGTAAGTGTGTGTTTATTAAAAGTCAGCAGCTACAGTTTTTGTAGCTGCTGACTTTTAATAAACACAAAAATGTCTGGAACTCCGCTTTGATTAAAAAAATTGTCAACTGTTTATAAAACACTGCATTTCAGTCAGGCTTTATATCTTCCACTCTTATTGGCCAGCTACCCACATAGAGGAGACCCTTCATAGTCATCTGATCTAGACTTCCAGCAGAAGTAGTGAGTCAGTCAGCACTAAAGGTGAATTCCAGACATGGATATTTTTACATAGTTCCATTAGATTGGACCAGCTTGGAGCAATGTAACTACAGTATAAATATACCATGCCTGTGGGATCCCTCTAGAACAGCAATGGGCAAAACTACGGCCCGGCGGACCTTTTAATCCGGCCCGCGGAGCTATGAGGATCTGTCCCCCTCAACGTATCTGCGCATGTGCCGGAGATCGCCGATCGGCTGCTAATGCCTGA